TTGTCATGCATGAACACAGATGTAGTTGCGGTGTTTGCTCACGCCCGTGGGTGAGACTTGGGTTCGGAACAGTTTTTAACTTTTTGCAATTACAAGTTCGATATTGTGCATGTGCGTGTTTCTGGCTTGGACAAGTTTTCCACAACCAAGCTTGTCAGCGGCTGCTCATCCAGGCCGGGTAAGTTGCCACGAGCATCGTGCACGGGGTTGGGAAAAGATCAAATGTCAAGGTGCGAAGATGGTTCGTGCTCACCGAGGCTTGCGGCATGCGAAGGTTGAAAAACAGAGCATAGGTCCGCAGCATGAGCTCCACACGTGTTTTTGTGGTTGTTGTGATAGTTCATTGCGCAAGTGCTGGAGCGGATACAGCCTCCTTTCATCAGTTCCCGCCAAGAAAACAGCATGGTTAGCGGCATGGTTATCGTTGCGTCATTGATTGTTTTTGACACAATGTTGAGGAGGAAATTGCATCTTGGTTGGCATTGCCCTTTCTTGCGCCTTGCTGGCCGTATCCTTAGCCACTAGCTGCAGTTTCGATGGAAATTGGTATATTCAGACAGCAGGCCTGCCATGTGCTTGATTCTCGGCGACCAAACCTTGCAGGAATGCTGAAACACTGCTCAGGCCTCTCGCGCATTCGTGTCTGCACCTTCGGCTGCCTCTGCTTCCCGACCTTCGTCTTGTTTCAGTGCGTTGTAGACAGATTAGGTTGGCAGTAGTGTTGATGGACCCGACGAATCTGCAGCGTGAGCATCTGTTTAAGCCGGCAATTGTGAGATGCGTTTAACGCCTTTAGTGCCACGGAGACTTTCCCCACAAAACTTTGGAACGTGTGTGAGGACTGCCAGAGGTTGATGCAGGCGCCTCAAAGGATCGTCGTGTTCATCGGACGTTGCTTCAGATCGCCTTGCTGCAAGGTGTTGCGCAGCACTGATTGTTCGTCTCCATACAGGCGTGCTCAAACGTATTTGACTGGATAAGGGCCGGGTGCTCGGCGCGACGTTCGCCGGCCTTTCTCCACTGGCGGCCAGCTCCTCGAAAAGTGCCCTTGTGAGTTCTGATGCTCGCATCCAGGATCCGGGCACACGGGTCAGCTGGTGAAACATGTACCAAGATCGAGCAGCCGGCCAGTGCCTACGACAGCGTCGTTGCCATGCTCCAGAGCTGGCTTGTAGGCCTTTGCTGCTTTGAAGGCGAAGGCCAGTTTTTTTGCCATCCTTCGAAGTTCGTTCAGGTGGCATTGCCTTGGTCTTGATCTATGGTGCTGCGCTCGTGGCCGCCGTGGCAAACCCCCTGACAAAGAGGCGAGGACATGTCGGTAGTAGGAGCAGGCAGACCGCCGCCGCGCCGGGGGTCAGCTTCCATAAGTACATGCGCAGGCGCTTGGAGGTGCGGAACGAGGCACTGGGAAGCTTGGGCTCCTGCCAGAGTTTCGCCCCAGCTTGCTGTACAACGGCATAACAGGGAACTCAAAGAACAGGAGAAACCCCGGGATATAGAACTGGAGATGGACGGACTCTTTTCAAGCACACCTGCCAAAAGAGCAACATGTGGTATGTGGAGGTGGAGGCCATGCGAAAGTGAGCAGCTTCCAGGAGCGCAGGGCTGAGCTGCATGCGTGGCCAAGCGCAGGCCTCGCAGCTTTTTTGCCACTCGTCTGCATGCTGGGGCGCTGGCACTGGCGCCGCAAGCTCCTAGTCGATCCTGCCGACCTTTCAAGGAGCTGGGCAGACAAAAGTGTCGGTCCGCTTTGCTTACTTCGCCTCCCACATGCAGTCTGCCAAGCATGTAGGAAACGAGCTAAACGTTGAGGACGCCGGACAACATGTCGCCCCATGTTTGTGATGCATCCTCAGCCATTTGGGGCACATACCAACATCCCTCTGTCCAGGCTGGCCTACCTGACGAATTCTTTCCGTTGTGTCTGCATAAGATATTGGTGCTCCGGTCAGACCCACTGGTGCAGAAATGGCTCGGACCCGCAAGTGCCTGAGAGCTTGGGGAGATCCGGGAGCAAGAGGAGTCGTGGTCTTGAGGTGGGAGCCTCCTTGTGGCAGTGGCGGTGGGCTGTGCCCTGCTGGTGCGAACCCTACGCTCCTCCACTGCTTTCCCTTCAAAAGCACGGTGGGTTCTAGAAATTAGGGCCCCAAGCCTGGAAGTACCTGGGCAAAGAGCGAACAGAGTCACCATTTGCTGTCGAAACGCATCGATTGCCCAAGTCTTTCTGATTGCCCGCTGATGCTTGCGGGGGGCTTTGAGCATGACGGTGCTGCGCAGCTGCAGGGTCGCATTAGAGTAGAGTGTAGACCTGGGTCCCAGCATCTTACATACCCAGCAAAGACTATCGATCTGCGACCTTTGCAGCTGCCGAAGGCCTCGTAGGATTTCAAACTCTTCGGCGGCACAGCATTCGAGCCAAGACGAGACACTGACACTTTCGAAGGGACCATGGGATGCCGTGCGAGGGACGACTGAAAAGGGATTTTCTCTCGACCTCATGGGATGTTTTAAGGGTCTTTAGTGAGACGTTGAAGTTGACGAAGAACCGCATAGTCCTATAGAGACATGTGGTTCGGCCTGCCGCGAGCTTCTCGGAGAATGCCGCCGCGCAGCTTTTGCGACGCATCTAGGCTGCTTGCATTCCTTGCTGAGGTCTCGCAAGCCTTCGTCTGCGGGCCTTCTGCAAGACAGACCAGGGATTCTTCAGCATCTGAGAAGTGTTGAACACCGGATAGACTTTCTGCAACGTTCTTGACTTGATGAAGCAGGGTCCACTGAATGAGATGACAGAGGGGCATTCAAGTTCTTCGCCTCGGTCAGCCCGGCAGGAGCTGCTGCACCGGAGGTGGATGCTCCGGCCTCGACACAGGGATCTCCTGTACCTTGCGTCTGCTGTAGGTGGTGCAACTGAGGCACGCGTCTTGGGTGCCACCTTTGCTGGGCTGTCTCCCCTCGCAGTACACGCCCTTGCAGCACCTGAGAGCCGGGAGACGGGAGACTCTGCCACTGGCCGAGGTCGAACAGCCTGCCAGCGCCTACGATAGCGTGGTCGCGATGCTCCAGAGCTGGCTGGTAGGCTTGCGCTTGGGGATGTCTGGGCGTCTGGGCGTGTGACAGGGGCTGCATGATGCCTGCAAGACTGCGCAGCAAGTGCGCAACAGCACAACGTTTGGCACAGGCGGCATTGCCCTTGTCCTTATCTATGGGGCTGCCTTGGTGGCGGCTGTGGCGAACCCGCTGACGAAGAGGCGAGGACTTCCGGGTCTTGAGGAGAAGTGTGTTGGTGCCGTCGTGTCGGGTGCAGGCGTCTGGAGGTCAGGGACCAGGCAGGGAAGCAGCGCCCGCCTTTCTTCGTTGCAGTTTGTTGTGCCACTGTCCAGTCGCAGGTGGAGCGCAAGTGAACAGTGGAAGCAGGAAGCTCAGAAGCGGATTTGAAGCCTCCCGACGCCTATTGACTTGCATCCTTCACGACTTTTCTCGCCTAATCACGCAAAGCACAACTTTGAGCGCCCCTCTTTCGTAGCAGCGTTCCTGGCACTCCTTTTTCTTTTGTGGATGCGCCGGACTTTGCTATGCTTCGGAGCAAGTTCAGCGAAGAACGCCGCTATGCTGCAGTCAAGCTACCAGAATAAAAAGTCACAAATGAACTGCATCTCCTGAAGACTTGAAACTGCAAAGACACTTCTTGTGTAGGCTTTTCAGTGTGATTTGAAGCGGAGGGTTCTTAACTACACGGACATATCAAGAGTTGCTCGCGATGTACAGTGGTTCTGTGCAGAAAATCCATTGGGTTGGACAAGGAAAAACCGTGCCTCAGCTGGAAACCTTACTAAGCAGACGGAGTATTATACTGAGAGTGATGGCTGGTAAACTGTAGAAGCCAAGTGGACAGGACATCGCATCAACAGAAGTTGTTTTCGGCAAGATGCATCCGGCGAAAGAGGTATGTCTTTTCTATCGACCAACTCATGGTAGTGCTCACCGACGCCTCCTGGAATGTGCTATCTGCATCTTGTTGCTCCTGTTCTCTTTGTGCCTCGACCGTCCTCGTCCTCATTTTCTGCATCAGCGTGCCAAGAAACTGCACAAAAAGGGCACCAGGACCAACCTCGGGAGGACAATTGGCTGGGTTGGCAGGAGGCAGGAGCATTTTGATTCTTGACATGATTGAACGGTGACATAGACGCAAGCAGTCTGAATCTGCGTCCCAAACCCGTTGCCGATCAAGGACTGAGGCATACTGGCAACATCGAGCCCCTCTCTAGATGAACCGATAAAGGGGAAGACCGCGTCCCTAGCTCTCATCATCCTTAAAGTCTTAAAGTCTAAATCGCCGATGTTTTCAGTGAAGCACGCATTTTTCCAAAAACTAGCGGTAGAATCGTAGCCTTGCAAGTGTGCGCGCATGCCAAGCTGGGCCTTCGCTTTTGATTTTCATCAGCCGTTGCCATCAAATGCGCACAGAAGACCTCACTCGTACTCGGCCCAGCGGCCTCGCAAGCACCACCAGGGCAAGTCGAGCCTGCAAAGGTGCTCAGTTCTCTTCAAGGCGACTGTGGCGCGTAGCGGAGTGGGGATCCCAGCATCCCAGCGCAGCTCGGGGGGCGGCTCCGGCGCTCGGATCTCTCCTGGCCCAAGGGTGGCGCTTCCTTGCGGACAGGCCGACCAGGCCCAGGCCGGCGGGCGATGGAGGGAGTCTCTTCTCGGAGAGAGAACTTATCTCAGGTCGGACTACGTCACCCGGTCTCTCAGAAACTTGGTGTGCAGGAGCCGCGCCTCTTTATCGCCCGGGCCCTCAATCTGTTCACATGCAGATGCTGGTGATTCCGTTGTTGGTTGCAACTTGGTACTTGTCTCTGTCAATTGCCTTCTCGCTCAACAACTGTCCATTGCAACTGGGCTTGAAGGCTGGGCGATTACATGCTGACGTGGAATCTCCAGCTTTGTTGGGCAAGCTTTGCCGTAGAAGCCTGATAAATTCTCCCGGCGAGGCACGAGCCATGGAGCCATGGAGAGAGCACCTGTCCGCCCTCGGACAAGAGCTAGAGACAAAGTCCAGCTTGCTCCAGTCGCTGCGCTTGCAGAATTGCCAGCTTGAGGAGGCTTGACAACAAACCCCTTTTGCAAATTCAAGGCATTGACGGCTGTAGCTCTTAGCAAGCGCTGTTTGTGACGCTAGCAGTGCCAGAAGAGTGTGTACTCGGAAATCTGAAGACTTTGACTTCGCGTCAGTGTCCGTGACATGACCACAAAGGGTTGTTTGTGTAGACCCTTTTCGGCCAACGTGCGTGGTCAAGTTGTGCGTAAGGCACAGTAATGCCATGCCATGTTGTGATGCGCATGGCGACAAGTAGCAGCAGAAGCAGCTGCACCGTCATTTTCTGTTTTTGCTCCCATGTACCCGAATGCAGGCATTGGCTCGCTGGACCCAGCAGGGCCAAGCCTTCGGAGAGGCAAAGGCTGGACACGCTGAATCCCGCTATGCATCAGACCCGCAGCCAACGTGCTGGCCGGTTGTGGATGAAGTTGGGGAGCTTCCTGGCGAAGCTGGGCATTCACTACCGCTTCAGTGGATTACTCCCAAGTCTCGGGCGGCGAAGTCCTTGTCCTTGGCATTGAGTGGTGCTGGCATGAAGATCGCTCAGCAAACTGCGCAGCAAATGCCAAAGGGTCAATGGGTCGGCGACAAATCCCAGACCTCGTTAAGCACGCAAAACCATGGCCACGTCTCCTCACCGTTCACGTCATCCTCGCCACTGAGTCGGCACAAGACGGCGGCAAAGTCAAAGCTGATCGAAGAGGGTGGAATCAAGTTCGCAGTCTTGAGGGCAAACGAGAATACCATCCTCACAGTTCAGAAGCCATGGCACCTTGTTGAAGTTACTTATAACAGGTTCACTTGGTAAGAAACCCCATGCAGTTTTGAACGCCCTTATATCTTCTGCATGGTGCACGCTATTCTCGAGGTACATCATCAATCCGGACCGGAGCAGGTTTGCCAGCGTGTGGCAAGTCGTGATGGGCTTTGCACTGGTTTTCGTCGCGCTAGTCACTCCGGTGCAGGTATCGTTACTGGAGCCCAAGTTCGACTTTCTCTTCCTGCTCAGTTTGTTCGTGGACTTCCTCTTCTTCTGCGACTTTGTTATCCAGTTCTTTACCGCCTATCCCAAGACGACGCCACATGGTCTTGTCTGGGAAGTGCGTCTCCACCATATCTTCTGCCACTACTTGAAGACCTGGCTTGTTTTGGACTCTCAGATGTGCTATGCTCGCTAACGCACTTTTGTGTCTGTATGCCGGGATGCACGCCCTCATTTGCGAATGTGGCATTTTGCTCGCCCTGCGCATAAGGATCTAGCCACCATGATCCCCTTCGACTTCCTGACCGTGACGCTGCAGGTAGTCAGATTGCAGAAGTAACCTCCTGTCTGCTGCCTCTTACTTCTAGGACGGACTGATAGTTGCTGCGTTTTAATGCTCTGGCACGTGTCGTGCTTCGTCGCCAATGTCTGACTATTGCTTATAGCCGGCTTGCCTTTCGACACATGTTGGAGCTGATCCATGCAGGCGACGACACTTCAGGACTTCGTTGGCCTGAAAGTGATCCGATCTCTTCGGCTCATGAAGCTCATGCGGATCATGAAAGCCTCCAAGGTGTTCCAGGATTTTGAAGCGCCGTTGGCTATTCCGTACCAGAAGATAGCGCTGCTGAAGTTCATGGTGGTCCTGCTCTTCATCTGCCATTGGTTCGCCTGTGGCTGGGCGGTGACGCTGTCGGCCGTGGACGCGTCGTTCCCTCGCTGGATTGACGGCATCCAGGAAGCCGACAGGGCTTACGACATCGTGACCATGGACTCTCCCATTCGGATCTACGTGGCTGCTTTCTACTTTTGCAGCTACACCATCACATCCGTCGGCTATGGCGATGTCGTCCCTCAGAACGTCCTCGAACGTGGCGTGCGCCGGCTTAGGTGAGAACTTAAAGGGTTCCTGAAGGTTCTTCAGCGTACCTTTTGCTTATGTGTGGCAGCTGCAAACAAACGCAAGGTCTGTTGCGGCATTCTGTTGACAGCCGGTCTGTCTTGGACCTACATCATTGGAGAGGTGTGCACTATAGTCGCGGACATGACTTTGGAGAGCCAGGAGTTTCGCAAGACCATGCACCACCTCAACAAGGCGAGGCGGGAGTGAAATGGCTTGTTCAGTTCTGCCGCAACATATTGACACTTCCATCCTGAGCCACTACTCAGCTACGCTCTAATTTAGGCACATATCTGCAGTGAGATGGCAGGCATGGGTCTTCACGGCCGACATGTAGTCTTTTCAAAGTCTTCATGTGCGGACCTCGACCCCTCTCCCCTGAGCCAGATGATGCGGGACCAGCGCTTGCCCCATGATCTCCAACAACGGGTGCGACGCTATTTCTTGCAGAACCGCGGTCAGTCTCTTTTTGTGGCACGGCAGTCGTTGATGCGACGAATGAGCCCGCAACTACAGGCAGAGGTCTCTGCCATGACGAATATGTTGTGGTTGGAGAAAGTGAGTTTTTTCAAGAGCTTCATGGGCTTCATCGAGCAGCAAAGGAGCCTCGGCGAGTACACCGCTCCCAACGAAGCTTGCGTGGCAGACATCGCAAAGTCGCTTCGTTTGGTTGCATTTGCCCAACAGGAGACATTCCACAACGTGCAAGTCTTGTACATTCTTTCGAAGGGTCTGGTCGCCCTGAACAGCCGTGTTGGAGCGCTCGGCGAGGTTTGGGGTGAGGATTTCGTCCTGTCGGACACCTCCCTGATCCGACCGGTAGCTGGCTATGCCTTGACGTACCTGGAGCTGCTGAGCCTCACTCGAGAGGACTTCATGCAAGTCATCCAGACAAGGCGCATCACCTGCCCGGAGCTCTTCCGACTTGTGCGTCGCTACTGTGTGCGGATCGCTGTGTACCGGGGCATCTTGGCCGAAGCCCGGCGTCGGCAACTGTGCGGAAGCCAAAGAAATCCCGGGAACGGGGCTGCAGCAAGTCCAGCTCGGCCAGCGCACCGAGCTGAAGCTGCCCAAGTCCAAGCGCAAGCGCAAGCGCAACCTTCGCCCCCTAAAGCAGAGATGGCTGTGCTGGGCTCTCTGAGCCTGCCAGGCACAGTCGAGATTTGGGACTCTGCGTTTTAGTTCGGCCGTCAGGTTTCCAGACTTCTGAGGTACAACTTCCCTGAGTTGGAGCAATCTCTCAGCCTTTGTCCATACCTTTTGACCTTGGAATGGGTCTCCAACTCTTGGAAGTGGCCGACCGAGGCCATGCCCATAGAAAACCGTTGCTTCGGCTACCAGTACAGTTCAAAAGGAGAACAGTATACACTAACTTGCCTCTTTTCGATGGGCATGGCCTATGGTGTAGTTCGACTGGATCCTGTAGGGCTGTGATGTTCATTTTCGCACGTGTCAGTGACGCGCGCGGCCCGGTCTGGCGCATCTCCTCACGCAAACGTGTTGAATGCTTGATGCCAGGTTTGTTGCACTTTTCGTGCTGAATTTGCAGTCCATCACCTCTCCCCCAATCAACGTTTCTGGGATGGTGCCTAGCCCCTTTTGACACAGACAGTTCCGGGCAAGGTCGCCCCCCGAAATTGTCACACAGTGGCTGGGAGGTGTTGCATGTGATTACCTCAATCATTCTTTTGCGCGCCACACAGAAAGCAAGGCAGCCAGGTCGATTGGAATCTGAGATTCATTGCTAAACGGCTCGGCTCGCGCGGCCAGGCTTGCGTTCTTGGGGTACCTTCGCTGGCCTTTCACCGTTGGCAGTCTGCGCCTTTGACAAAACTGTTCGACAAAGGCCATGACATGGCCATGTTCCTTGCCAGGTGGAGCAGCCTGCTGGCTTGTAGGCGGGGAGTCTAAGTTCTACGTACTGCGTTTGAAGTGTGCGTCAGCAAGGGCAAGGGTAGTTTTGTTGGGCCTTCCTTTCAGGTGGCATTGCCTTGGTCTTGATCTATGGTGCTGCGCTCGTGGCCGCCGTGGCAAGCCCCCTGACAAAGAGGCGAGGACATGTCGGGAGTAGGGGCAGACCGCCGACGCGCCGGGGGTCAGCTTCCATAAGTACATGCGCAGGCGCTTGGAGGTGCGGAACGAGGCACTGGGAAGCTTGGGCTCCTGCCAGAGTTTCGCCCCAGCTTGCTGTACAACGGCATAACAGGGAACTCAAAGAACAGGAGAAACCCCGGGATTTTGAACTGGAGATGGACGGACTCTTTTCAAGCACACCTGCCAAAAGAGCAACATGTGGAATGTGGAGGTGGAGGCCATGCGAAAGTGAGCAGCTTCCAGGAGCCCAGCTGCAAAGCTGAGCTGCAGGTGTGGCCAAGCGCAGGCCTCGCAGCTTTTTTGCCACTCGTCTGCATGCTGGGGCGCTGGCACTGGCGCCGCAAGCTCCTAGTCGATCCGGCCGACCTTTCAAGGAGCTGGGCAGACAAAAGTGTCGGTCCGCTTTGCTTGCTTCGCCTCCCACATGCAGTCTGCCAAGCATGTAGGAAACGAGCTAGATGTTGAGGACGCCGGACAACATGTCGCCCCATGTTTGTGATGCATCCTCAGCCGTTTGGGGACACCTACCAACATCCCTCTGTCCAGGCTGGCCTACCTGACGAGTTCTTTCCGTTGTGTCTGCATCAGATATTGGTGCTCCGGTCAGACCCACCGGTGCAGAAATGGCTCGGACCCGCCAGTGCCTGAGAGCTTGGGGAGAGCCGCGAGCAAGAGGAGTCGTGGTCTTGAGGTGGGAGCCTCCTTGTGGCAGTGGCGGTGGGCTGTGCCCTGCTGGTGCGAACCCTACGCTCCTCCACTGCTTTCGCTTCAAAAGCACGGTGGGTTCTAGAAATTAGGGCCCGAAGCCTGGAAGTACCTGAACAAAGAGCGAACAGAGTCAGCACTTGCTGTCGAAACGCATCGATTGCCCAAGTCTTTCTGATTGCCCGCTGATGCTTGCGGGGGGCTTTGAGCGTGAGGGTGCTGCTGAGGGTCGCATGATAGAAGAGCAAGATCTGATCTGGGTCCCAACATCTTACATTGTAATGTAAGTCTTACATGCCTAGAAATATGCGACCTTTGCAGCTGTCGAAGGCCTCGTAGGAGTTCAAACTCTTCGGCGGCACAGCATCCGAGCCAAGACGAGACACTGACACTTTCGAAGGGACCATGGGATGCCGTGCGAGGTTACGACTGAAAAGGGATTTTCTCTCGACCTCATGGGATGTTTTAAGGGTCTTTAGTGAGACGTTGAAGTTGACGAAGAACCACATAGTCCTGTAGAGACATGTGGTTCGGCCTGCCGCGAGCTTCTCGGAGAATGCCGCCGCGCAGCTTTTGCGATGCATCTAGGCTGCTTGCATTCCTTGCTGAGGTCTCGCAAGCCTTCGTCTGCGGGCCTTCTGCAAGACAGACCAGGGATTCTTCAGCATCTGAGAAGTGTTGAACACCGGATAGACTTTCTGCAACGTTCTTGACTTGATGAAGCAGGGTCCACTGAATGAGATGACAGAGGGGCATTCAAGTTCTTCGCCTCGGTCAGCCCGGCAGGAGCTGCTGCACCGGAGGTGGATGCTCCGGCCTCGACAGGGATCTCCTGTACCTTGCGTCTGCTGTAGGTGGTGCAACTGAGGCACGCGTCTTGGGTGCCACCTTTGCTGGGCTGTCTCCCCTCGCAGTACACGCCCTTGCAGCACCTGAGAGCCGGGAGACGGGAGACTCTGCCACTGGCCGAGGTCGAACAGCCTGCCAGCGCCTACGATAGCGTGGTCGCGATGCTCCAGAGCTGGCTGGTAGGCTTGCGCTTGGGGATGTCTGGGCGTCTGGGCGTGTGACAGGGGCTGCATGATGCCTGCAAGACTGCGCAGCAAGTGCGCAACAGCACAACGTTTGGCACAGGCGGCATTGCCCTTGTCCTTATCTATGGGGCTGCCTTGGTGGCGGCTGTGGCGAACCCGCTGACGAAGAGGCGAGGACTTCCGGGTCTTGAGGAGAAGTGTGTTGGTGCTGTCGTGTCGTGTAGTGCACGTGTGCACGGAGTGACATGTACGAGCGGCAACAGCAGACAACCGCAGCTGTTGCCCGCTCGAGGTTCTTTCAAGCTTTTCAGGATAGCCGCCCGCTCGCGCCGCAATGTCCTCGAGCTCCCCGACTACAAGTGCGGCCGCGGCTGACGGTGCTGCCGGAGCAGTCACGACAGTGGAGCAGTTCCGCAACGCCATGGCGGTCTTCGAGACCTTTCCTCTCCTGGATGACGACGACTTGCGCGTTCTGCTCCGGAGCCTGGGTTCGGTGCAGCTCCGCAGAGTGCTCGGCATCGGGCACACTGTGCTCATGGGTACCGATGCCCACTACGCGGCCAGGATCTCGGCTCGCGACCGCACGCTCGAGCTGGCCCAGCAGCAGATGCTGACGCAAGGGACAACGCCTTCGCCGATGCCCGGACCGCTGCTCAAGAGCATGGGGAAGGCCGCGAGCCCTCCGCTCAAGGCCATGCCCGCCACCGAGCTCTTCAACGTCTCCACCGAAGCAGCCGACGGGGACGGAGCAGCCGAAGACGAAGGCCTCCAGTGGAGCCAAGGGCGTCCCGGCTATCACCACGCCCAAGAAGGCGACGATCCAGGACCCGCCCGCCTCGCCGGCCAAAGCAAAGGCTGCCTCCGCAGCTCCGATCGCGACGCCGGCCAAGGCTGTGGTTCAGCAGAAGCGACCGCCACAACGACCCAGCGACTACGACAGCACCTTGGCGGCAGTCTTCACCCAGCCGTACGTGGACACAGTGCCACAAGACCTGGAACTGATGGCACCACCACCTTCGGCCTCGCCTTCGCCCGCTCCGCCTTTGCCGCCGCCCAGCTCACCGCCGGCGGAAGTTTTCTTCGACGAGCTGGCGCCCGACCTTGAGGACTTCCTGCAGGCTACGGCGGCTGCCTCGCAGCCAGTATCCACCTCTGACGTCGAGGACGCCACGCCCGAGGACCCGGTGGAGCAGGACGACGACGGAGGCCAGGACGACGGGGACGACCAGGATGATGACGATGACCAGCCCAGGGTCATCTCACGCAGGCTGCTGTGCGTGTCGCCCGCTCGGCCCGACCCGCCCTCCACGGCAGGAGCCTCGACAGCAACAAGGGCCAACGCCACAGCGGAGGACACCGACGAGGATGATGGGGCGCCCGGACCGAGTCAGCCGACTCCGGTGCCCGACCCGCCGGTGGCGAAAGCGTCCTTTCCTTCGCCCGCCGAGGTGTCCCGCGACCAGGCTCGCATCGCTCGTCGCCGCGATCGTGAAGAGCGGCTGCGCGCTTGGGAAGGGTGGCCTGAGCCATGCGACTTGCTGACGGGCGAGACCAATGTCGTTTGGAACTTGCCACCGGGCGTCCCGGCACAGCCTCCACCCGGCAAATACGCCGACCACCGCGTGGAAGGCTACTGCAACTTGGGCTGCGAGACGCGCAAGGCCGACCGCACGCCAGTATGTCAGGGCCGGTGCTTTCGTCCCATCATCCGAACGCGATCGGGGACGGCACACGGCAATCATTTTTGCGGTCCATGCGAGCGCGCTCGCTCCGCAGGAAGGCGCTGAAGAGCGGGCCTTCTGATTCTTCCATGGCGACCGGCGGTCATACAGCAATCACCGCCTCGCCTCGCAACCCCTGCGCCGCCCGCGCCGCCAAAAGAAGGGGTCCGAGCTTCTGCGACGAGCCCGCTCCCCCCGCCCGAACCACAGGAGTGAGTGAGTGCTGCTCCTCCCCTCTTGCATTAGGTCTTTCCTCTCTCTGACTCTCTTCTCTTCCGAAGCCAGCTGACAGGAGCGCCTCTTCTCTTGCATTAGGTCTCCGCTCGCGTTGATTCTCTCCCTCGAGTGCTTGCAAGGGACTCTGTTTGCGAGGGCATGCGCAGTCTGCACTTTCATGTCGTGCCTCGTGTTCGGTTCGCCTCGCTCGCAACGACAGTCTCGAGTGCTTGCACCTTTCCCCGCCCGACGCCCCGCAGCTCGAACCTGTCAGGTCACATCACTTCATGCACAAGAAGCTGGACGCCCGCTCTGCGTAGCCGTTCTCTTCAAGGCTCAGGTTGCTTTGCTCGTACGTTGTGCACGCGCGCGCACGCCACGCCATGTCGGCTTTCGACTACCACTCGTTCGT